GCGTGTGCGTGTGCGTGTACGTGTGCGTGTGCGTGTGCGTGTGCGTGCGCGTGCGCGTGTGGGTGTGTGTGTGTGTGTGTGTCTCTGTGTGTCTCTGTGTGTCTCTGTGTGTCTCTGTGTGTGTCTGTGTCTGTCTGTGTGTGTCTGTGTGTGTGTGTGTGTGTCTGTGTGTGTGTCTGTGTGTGTGTGTGCGTCTGTGTTTGTCTGTGTGTGTCTGTGTTTCTGTGTGTGTGTGTGCGTGTGTCTGTGTGTGTGTGTCTGCGTGCGTGTGTCTGTGTGTGTGTGTCTGTGTGCGTGTGTCTGTGTGTGTGTGTGTCTGCGTGCGTGTGTCTCTGCGTGTGTCTGTGTGTGTGTCTGTGTGTGTCTCTGTGTGTGTGCGTGTGTGTCTGTGTGTGTGTGTGTCTGTGTGGGTGTGTGTCTCTGTGTGTGTCTCTGTGTGTGTGTACGTGTCTCTGTGTATGTGTGTCTCTGTGTGTGTCTCTGTGTGTGTCTGTGTGTGTGTCTGTGTGTGTGTGTGTGTCTGTGTGTGTGTCTGTGTGTGTGTCTGCGTGTGTGTCTGTCTGTCTGCGTGTGTGTGTGTGTGTGTGTGTGCTGTGTGTGTGTGTGTGTGTGTGTGTGTGTGTGTGTGTGTGTGTGTGTGTGTGTGTGTGTGTGTGTGTGTGTGTGTGTGTGTGTGTGTGTGTGTGTGCGTGTCTGTGTGTTTGTGTTTCTGTCTGTGCGTGTCTGTGTGTGTGTGTGTCTGTGTGTGTGTGTGTCTATGTGTGTGTGTGTGTCTGTGTGTGTCTGTGTGTGTGTCTGCGTGTATACGTCTATGTATCTATGTGTGTGTGTGTGTGCGTGTGTCTATGTGTGTGTCTGTGTGTGTCTGCGTGCGTGTCTGTGTGTGTGTATGTGTCTGTGTGTGTGTGTCTCTGTGTGTGTGTGTGTCTCTGTGTGTGCGTCTGTGTGTGTGTGTGTGTCTGTGTGTGTGTGTCTGTGTGTGAGTGTCTGTGTGTGTGTGTCTGTGTGTGTGTCTGAGTGTGTGTGTGTGTGTGTCTGTGTGTCTGTGTGTGTCTGTGTGTGAGTCTGTGTGTGTGTGTGTCTGTGTGTCTGTGTGTGCTGTGTGTGTGGCTGTGTGTGTGTGTCTGTTTGCGTCTGTGTGTGTATGCGTGTCTGTGTGTGTGTCTGTGTGTGTGTCTGTGCGTGTGTCTCTGTGTGTGTGTGTGTCTGTGTGTGTGTTTGTGTGTGTGTGTGTCTGTGGGTGTGTGTGTGTGTTTGTCTGTGTGTGTGTCTGTGTGTGTCTGTGTGTGTCTGTGTGTGTGTGTGTGTCTGTGTGTGTGTGTCTGTGTGTGTCTCTGTGTGTGTGTCTGTGTGTGTGTGTCTGTGTGTGTGTGTCTGTGTGTGTGTCTGTGTGTGTGTCTGTGTGTGTGTGTCTGTGTGTCTCTGTGTGTCTCTGTGCGTCGCTGTGTGTGTGTGTGTCTGTGTGTCTCTGTGTGTCTCTGTGTGCGTCTGTGTGTCTCTGTGTGTCTCTGTGTCTCTGTGTGTCTCTGTGTGTCTCTGTGTGTCTCTGTGTTTCTCTGTGTGTCTCTGTGTGTCTCTGTGTGTCTCTGTGTGTCTCTGTGTGTGTCTGTGTGTGTGTGTCTGTGTGTGTGTCTGTGTGTGTGTCTGTGTGTGTCTGGGTGTCTGTGTGTCTGCGTGTCTGCGTACGTGTCCGTGTCTGTGTGCGTGTGTGCGCGCGTCTGTGTGCGTGTCTGTGTGCGTGTCTGTCTGCGTGTCTGTCTGCATCGTGTCTGTGTATCTGTGTTTCTGTGTGTCTGTGTGTCTGTGTGTCTGTGTGTTCGTGTGTCTGTGTGTTCGTGTGTCTGTGTGTCTGCGTGTCTGTCTGTCAGTCTGCGTCTGCGTATCTGCGCGTCTGCCTGTCTGCGTGTCTGCGGGTCTGCGTGTCTGCGTGTCTGCGTGTCTGCGTGTCTGCGTGCCTGCGTGCCTGCGTGCCTGCGTGCCTGCCTGTCTGCGTGCCTGCGTGCCTGCGTGCCTGCGTGCCTGTGTGTTTGCGTGTCTGTGTGCCTGTGTGTCTGTGTGTCTGTGTGTCTGTGTGTCTGTGTGTCTGTGTGTCTGTGTGTCTGTGTGTCTGTGTGTCTGTGTGTCTGTGTGTCTGTGTGTCTGTGTGTCTGTGTGTCTGTGTGTCTGTGTGTCTGTGTGTCTGTGTGTCTGTGTGTCTGTGTGTCTGTGTGTCTGTGTGTCTGTGTGTCTGTGTGTCTGTGTGTCTGTGTGTGTGTGGTGTGTGTTTGCGTCTCTTTGTGCTATGTGTGTGTGTGTGTGTTCGCTGTATAGAATTTATTTACTGGTTAAACTGCCCAAATATTTCCATATATGCACACATACACACGTATGTGCATGTCAAAACTCGAGACCTGTTCCGGGAAGCTAGTCGACATGAAACAAACCAACACATCCCCAAAAAGTCGGCTTTTCAATACCCTTTCGAAAGGTCGTAAAAAGGGCAAGGTGTAGTAAAGGCTTGTCCCGCAGGTTTGGAATCAAGAAGTCTAAGCGGTGGTGGTTCTGGCAGACCTCAAAGCAGGCATCACAGGGCTTCCCATATTCTCCTTTAACCAGCACCAAGAGGAAAGGATCAAGAGGCGAAGTCCCGTCGGATGTCCCAAGATGCCACGCGGGCGCGGAGGATTGTCATTTTGCCGCAGCCTCTGAAGTCGATTTTGGACCATCGGCCAAGCAGCTCCCTGCCACGGACCAAGAGGCATCTGGCTTGAGGTACCTTCAGCTGCACATTGACTCAGACTTGGCAACCACATCTGGGCTGCACAGAAAATGCAACATCTTGTATATGTATATATATATATACATATATATATATATATATGATCCTGCGCTATATCCGATCCCTGAAGTAGGTATTAAATCTGTGAATCAGTCAGGGAAAACCAGAGCCATGGACATAGCCACGGTCATCGCCATTCATCCTGACTAGTCTCATGCACTTCAGGGCTCAGAGGGTGCATAAGGAATGCTTCCATAGATCCATTGGGCTGAAACCAGACATGTGCCAAGGGTCCCCTTTTGAATGTTTTAGAGAATTGTAGGCTTAATTGAAGTCCAATGAGTTGGAATGACACATCTTGACAGAGGCTATGGAGGGCAATGCACGAATCATGTGCGTGATAAAGCTGACCATCCCTCAACAGTACCAACATCCCGCTAGAGCGGACATCAACTCGGCTCAGCCAATCAATGCCGCTGCTCACCTCCAGCCGCTGCAGGAAGACACTCAGCTGTGGTGAAAACTGGCGTTTGTTGAGAGCACTCTCGAAGTATCAGAACCAGCTGATCGAGGAAACTGTGCTTCTGTTGTTTTCCAGCGCCACAAGGAATCGTTACTCGCCTGCAAATCAACATGGAAAAGAACAAGGGGGGTTCCCAAACCAAAAAATCCTACAAATCGTTGGTCTCTGTGGAATCCATGTCAACCTGCAGAAATGTAATACTACATGTCCAGAGCTAGCGCCATATCTTGGCGGTTTGGAAAAGCTCTTGGGGCTCTCACGCAACCCAGTCCCAGGGTAGCTAACGCGCAAGTCACCTCCTCTTGGCGGCTTGCAGAGAGCAAAGCGGCCATGCCCAGTCACACTTGTTATGTTGTTGTTTTGGTTGTTGGTTGTTGGTGTTGTTGGTTGTTGGTGTTGTTGTTTTGGCTGTTGTTGGTTGTTGGTGTTGTTGGTTGTTCGTTGTTTGCTGTTTGTTGCCTGAGAAGCTGAACAGACCTTATTGCCCTTGCTTGGTGAAAGTCGAAATCATGGAAAGCCTTTTCTGACGCTGATTCAAGGCGGGCAAATTAAAACTGTATAAAATTCCTGTGTCCCATTCGACACTCCGCCCACATTGCCAATATGACCACTTAGGTAGTAACCTCCCACCTCCCAAAACCGGACCCGACCAAAGGCCGTCGGGACTTGGGAATATAGGCGTAGGTATAGACCCAATCAGAAAACAAATGCTTTGTACAAGCTCAACCTTCAACCTGCCAACGAAAATCTGTAATTGTTCGTGGAAGGACAATACCCAAATCCATGGAGCTATCAACGAATGTTGGTTGGGGGTTGTTACTTGGCCCTTGCCTACTGTTTATGAAGTCTCGTCATTTCCAATAGCGAGCTTCTGCTCCAGTCCAAGATCGGTATGTGCTTCGGGCAAGCAGCTGCTTTGCTGAATGTACAGGAGGGAACGGTCAACACAACGAACAAGATGCTCACTGGCGAGCTGGCAGACTCTGCACCAACGTCATCAGTGAGCAAAATCATGCTTTTTGAGGATCAATCTCGAGGGATTGTAATACTAAAGAATGCCACAGAACTCTACAAACCAACTAAAGCATGCCAACTGCTCCTGTCACTTCGAACAAGACAACCTTGCCAGCGTGCGGGTGGCAGCAAGTCGAGGATCACAAACCGAAGGTTCCCTCCACATGTTAACCATGGACCCAAATAGTAGTGAAAATCATTCATACATGCCCCGCTCTGGAAAAAAACTCGATTTCCAGTACTTCATAGAACTCCCATCACAAAGCACAAATCCGTTTGGCGACGGAGGGGGTCCCGTCATGAAATGATTGGGTGTTGGGGTTTAGCTTGCCCCAGCAGTGTTTTCCATCCATGAGGCCTTTGGGGTGTCTTGCATCCAAGAACATTTTACTCTAGCAGGGTGCTTTTTCTCATGGGGTCCTTTACGCTAGCTGCATCCATCCGCCAATGAAAGGTGCATAAGAGCGAGTGTATAGGAATGAGTTACAATATGTCCAGATACAACATGTCCGAACAAGGACTTGTCATGACTGCGCCCGAAGTCATAATTGATTGTGGGCGGTTCACCGGACTGAACCAGGAAACCATCTGTGAGCTCCAAACAGCTAGCTTGGGCCAGTATTGTTCAATGGGGAAAGCTGGTGACATGATCTAACCCTATCCTGATCACTCAGGGAGTGACCTTACTTGCAGAAGGGCTCCTTCTTTGATTCCCCTTCTGAACCCAGTCTTCTTTCATGGAGCCAACTGGCCATTTTTGGAGAAAGTGGATGGCAACCGGATGCCAAATCTCAGGCTGCACGTCCCTCGTCTCACGTGAGAGGCGACTCCTCCGGCCTGCACGTAGCTCTTTTAGTTGCTTCCAGGTTCGGGGATTGCACATTGTCGTTGCGCACAAATGGCTGTGGGTCAAAAACAGGTACCCCTAGTAAGTGGAAACATGGACCAAAACCTGCGGTCCCCTGGTGGTTTAATTTTGACCCATACCGATTTGGGGCATCCCGTTTCCTTTCCCGTTTCTTGGTGGTTTTGCCCTTCCTTCCCCACGCAAAAAGCTCGGAAGGCTTGCGGTTTGCCACGTCCACGTCCAAACGATTGGAGCCATCTCAACAATAGCGGCAGGTGGTTGGTTTCCTTTTGGGTATGGGTCAAAATTAAACCATTAGGGGACCGCAGGTTTTGGTCCATGTTTCCACTTACTAGGGTTCCAGTCGGGGTACCTATTTTTGACCCACAGCCTGGTATCCTTTTAGAACCCTCCAAAATGGGGGCCCACGATCTTGAGACTAACGTGACGCGCAAAAGCTTTGCCAGTGGCAAACAATTGCGAACGCTTGCGAACTCTTGCAAACGCCTGTGAAAGCTTTCGAGAAACACCGCGACGAAGCAAACACGACCAACGCCTCAATCCGCATTTCAAACCCCTCCTTCGCTGTGTGGCAAAACAGCACCCTGTCATGATGCTCTGCCAAACAGCGGCTGGAGGGGACGTATGCATTGTGCATCGATGTGGACCATGACCACGGCTTCATTGGGTCAGCATGGTCAGTCAACACGTGAAACGAGCCGCTCGTCAAAGTATATCTTTCAGGAGGGTTCCTTGAGGCACTGCAGCCCCAAATCCATCGCTGTCGAACTTGTCCGGTTGAGAGACTTGGGGAAGGCGTTCCAGGTTGGTGTCCTCGAGTGTCAGTGTCTGAAAGCGAAAACTGGCGTCATGTTGACACTAAAAACAACCCACTTCAGCCTTACTGCAAGGCGGCCAGCGAGTTTTTGCCGAACCGTTTATCTCGTTTGGCATCTATCCCGGGCATGCCAAAGACGGCTAAGGGAAATGATGTTCACCAGGGCTTGCTACAATGATCAGTCAAGGGCTTGCCGCAGTAAGCTTTAAATACATCAACCCTATCCTTCCCTTACAAGAACCACACAGCTTTGACCAACTTCAAAACCCCAGAGCAGTCCTGGAAACAAAGCAGTTCTTCCACCCACAGGAACCGCTTGAATAGGCTACACTAGAGTAAAAGCAGGCACAATTCCCTTTATGCAGGCAAGGGGATGACTAAAACCATGTTGGAATTGTGTCGACTAACGCCACATTGCATCCCACTCAGCGATGAAAGGTTGGAACTGTGCCAAGAGTCACCAAATTGAATCCCATTCAATCCAAATGTAGCCAGGGAAAAATCGAAACGGAGCCGCCTTCTGCCCTGCCGGCCTCGCGAGGAAGCTCGCGAATCGCCTCAGAGCCCCAGCTGCTCAATGGCATCCTTGCCGGTGTAGTTCTGGGCCGCGATGATGCCCATGGTGGCGAACCTTAGCTTTGGGCCATCGCCAAAGGCGAACACATGAGCCAGGTCCTCCAGTGGAGAGGTTAGAATAAGGGTACCCTTTTTGTGCAGTCTATTTTAGGGGAACCCTCCCAGACAAAGGGCAAAAGGGCACTACTGGGGGACCTAGCATGCCTTTGGTTCCATATAGAAGGAAAAACGGTTCCGGAAGTTTCAGGAAAACGGAGGAAGGGTTGGAACGGGATTTGGAAAGGCCCCATAGAATTGTGCTCGATTGGTGAAACTTGGGGAGGGGCATGTGTCGAAGGTAGCACACATCAAATTGGTTGCTTTCATGTTGGCTCCCGGCTACTGTCCAATTCCTCCCCAAAAGCAGAACAAGAAGCACACAACTTCCAAGAAGCCGCAATGAACATAACCACACAAGTCAAGGGCTGCAAGAGTTGCAAGAAGCACAGTACTCAAAACCACATCGAGAACCGCCAACATCACCCAGCACCACACGCGCAACTGGAACAATTCCTCCACTCTCCCGCCTACCAACATGGAACCTGGATTTGAACATGTTTCCTTCAACATGACCTTCTGGCGTGTTTTCATATGTCAGTGCGTCATCTATGCACCTGGCTATTTATATGTACCGTATTGGTCTTGGCAGCCAGTGTATAAATTTGC